CCCGAGTAGCTGGGACTACAGGCGCCCACCACCTCGCCCGGCTAGTTTTTTGTATTTTTTTTTAGTAGAGAAGGGGTTTCACCATGTTAGCCAGGATGGTCTCAATCTCCTGACCTCGTGATCCTTCCGTCTTGGCCTCCCAAAGTGCTGGGATTACAGGTGTGAACCACCGCGCCCGGCCTAAAAAGGACTTTTTAAAGAGCTCATAGAGATAAGGAATAAGAAATTCTAGAGGAAATGAATGAAATAAGAACAAAAAAATGAAATAACAATAAATAATGAAATAGGACAAAAGAACAACAGTGGTTATTTTGTGCAAGAGGGAGGAGTAAGATAAAATAGATAAGAGAAAGGTTGAAAAAACTTTTCACAATGTGTCTTTATAATGCTTCAATTTATGAACCATGATAATGTATCACCTGGTAAAAAATGAAAATATCAAAAATAAAAACAAAAATTGAAAAATTCATGAACTAGAAATAGCATAGCAAGTATCATGCTAATACAAATGCAAATGTTAGCATACTCATGTTTTGATAAATATGGATATATGAGTAATTATTGTTATAACTATATTTTATACATATGCATGTATTTATATGTTGTTTATCACTACATTCCATGAGAGTATAGTGTTCATTCTGAGCTTAGTTCATAGTAAGTGTTCAATAAATTTGTTGAATGAATGCATGATAGATGAATAAATTTTAAGTGACTTGTAATGTTATCTTACTTTTTCTTCTTCTTCTTAACTAGGTGCTAATCTGTGGAAATTTTAAGGGAATGAAAATTAAACCTGGCTCAATGGGAAAACCTTCTCCTGCTTTTGATGTTAAGGTTTGCACATCCCCTTCCAGAAGAATGCTTAACAACCCAATCTGTACACTATCTACCTACCGCTTACCCCCCATATAAACTCTCTTCATTATGGTGGTGATTCCATTTTACTTCCATGATACTTTAATTTTTATTAATAGATGAAAATGAGTTAGAAATGTTAGCTTATTGGTCTCCATTATTTTGCAAATACCTATATTGTACTATACAGTTCTAAGCATTTAATTAATGTTAACCCATTAGGCTGGATGCAGTGGCTCACGCCTTTAATCCCAACACTTCAGGAGGCCAAGGCAGGAGCATCGCTTGAGCCCAGGAGTTCAAGAATGAAGGGGTGGCCTGCCCCTCCACACCTGTGGGTGTTTCTCGTTAGGTGGAACGAGAGACTTGAGAAAAGAAATAAGACACAGAGACAAAGTATAGAGAAAGAAAAGCGGGGGCCCAGGGGACCGGCGCTCAGCTTACAGAGGACCCACGCCGGCACCCTGAGTTCCCTTAGTATTTACTATAGATAATTATCTTTACCGTCTTAAAGATAAGGGAGTGGCAGAACAATAGGATCGTTTTTAGGGAGGAAATCAGCAGTAAGACATAAGAACAAGGATCTCTGTGACATAAATAAGTTTAAAGGAAAATCCTGTGCCTTGAGATAAACCTTTTAGCAGCATTGTTTCATCCTATCACATGGGGATAAACCTTGGACAATACCTAGCTTTTCTAGGAACAAAGACACACCCTGCACTCCCAAAATCCATTAAACCTTGAGTTACCACAGCACATGTCTCTTGCAAGGACAGGGTTGGGGGTAGGGTCACAGATTAACAGCATCTCAAATACAGAACAAAATGGAGTCTCTTATGTCTACTTCTTTCTATATAGACACAGTAACAGGCTGATCTCTTTCTTTTCCCCACAAAGAACAGCCTGGGCAACAATGTGAGACTTTGTCTCTACAAAAAAATATAAAAAACTAGCCAGGTGTGGTAGTATGTGCCTGTGGTCTCAGCTACTCAGAAGGCTAAGACAGGAGGATTGCTTGAGTCTGGGAGCTTGAGGCTGCAGTGAGCCATGATCACACTACTGCACTCCAACCTGGGCCACAGAGCAAGACTTTGTCTCTAAATAAATAAATATTAACCCATTGAATTTCCAGAAGAAACCCTATGAGAAGCATACTAATATTAGAACCATTTTACAAATGAGGCACAAAGAGGTAAAAGAACTTACCAGAGGTCACACAGCTAATAGCTGCTAGAGTCGGGCTTCAATCCCAAATAGTCTGGTTCCAATATCTGCACTCTAAACCACAACACAACACTGTTCTCTCAGGCGAGGTAGGTCAAGACCTTCTGAGGAGGTCAACTAGGCCCAAAGAGGCTTCAGTTTACAGTGGCTGCAGCACTTTCCCTCTCTGCTCCCAAGCCTGCCTGGCCATTTCCAGTCTTTCTGTATCCACTGCCATTGCTACCACCCGATGCCTAGGAGGCATTCCAATTCCCCATCAGCAAACTTTATATAGGATTAAAATTGTTCTCTGATTAACCCAGCTTCAAAGCTGGGTGTAACCAAAGGAACTTACACTAATTTAGATACTCCTCAACTTATGGTAGTGTTATGTCCCAAAATAAAGTCATCATAAGTTGAAAACATCCTAAGTCACAAATGCATGGCTGACTGGGAACTGTGACTTACTGTTGCTGCCCAGCATCTAGAGAGAAGGACGGTTTCAACTGAATGGTTATCTCTTTCACACCATTGTAAAGTTGGGAAATAGTAGGTTCAACCCATCTTAATTCAGAGACCCATCTGTACGTTAAGAGAGAGCAAAAGCAGCAAAAATATGGATGAATTAACAGAGTACAGCTCTTAGATAAATGTTTCCCAAGCTTATTTGATCATAAACATCATATGGATATGTATTAAAAATACTAATTATTAGGCCCCTGGAGAGACCAATTCAATAGATTTGGAGTGGGACTCTGGAATCTGAAATCTTGTGATTTTAACAAGCACCTCCAGGTCGTTTTTAGGATCAAGTAAGTTTGAGAGAGTTTAGATGAACTTCATTGCTGTTGTAACTCTTTATAGAATAAACCCGATCCTGGGTCCTTTCTCTCACTTTAACCTTGCTATGGGAACCTTGTCTCAAGATAGGATAGCCTAGTGGTTCAACTGTATCTCTGCTATTCACTAGCTGAGTGTCTGTGGGTACACTGTTAAAGCTCTCTAAGTTCCAGTTTCCTAATTTGTAAAGTTGGGACTAGAGCGACCAACCTGTCTGTTTGCCTGGGACTTATCTGGTTTTAGCACTTAAGGCAATACATCATGAAGAACCAATCCCCCACAACCCCTCACCACTTCAGTCTCCAGATGGTTGGTAACCCAAATAATAACAGAACTGATTTCATAGGTTTCTTATGATGATTAAAGGAGACAATATGTTTAAAGAGCATATCAGAATGCTTAGTATGTAATGAAGATCCAAAAGATGGGTGCTGTTATTTACCTCTCCCTCACATTCCTCTTTGAAAAGCTTCTCTAAGAAAAATTGGTAGGAGAGCCCTAGTTGCATTCCATAAACAGGCTTAACAATAGTTTGTTGGTTAACAGGCTACCTTAGGTTGAAGAAAGAAATATTGATAATTAAGCACGCTCATGTCTGCATTACAGGGAAGTTGATATGTAACACAGCAATGTTCTTTTTCTTCCTCCCTTAATAGCAATTCCCAATATGCATGGCTATCAGGGTCTTACAGGCACAGCTGTACTCACGGTGATCCCAACTGCAAGGTACCCCCACCTGTTCCACATTAAGTTGAGCCCAGTGGTTTTCTAGAGCAGCTATCTTTGAATGCAAATATGATGAGGCAGAGAGGAAAACAGTACTCTGCCTGCATCCCCACTCATTTTTAACTCTTTCCACGGGCCGTTATTACTGGGCTTCTTGTTCCTTAGCTAAGAGCATCTGCAGTAACATTCTGGCATCTGGGGATGTGTTCCAACAAGGTGAATATTCCTACAGCTTCAAAGCCCAACCTTTATACTCTTCTTTGTGTGCTTTTAAATACTCATAATTTTCATGTTTAAACATTTTAAGACCCTATGAACAATGAGGAACATGATTCTCCCCAGACACAGAAGATTTTTTGTATATTCCCATCTATTAAAATCTGTGATAAGTACCTGGAACTTTTAAAATACTTCCTTTCTGTCAATAATTCCTTCATACCTGGAACCACATATTTCTTTAGATCACTGGGTGGGAATTTATATTTTTTTTATTTGCAAGAGCTTAAAGAGAAGTTTTTACACTTAGAATTCCTTTGCCATTTAAGTTTCTCAATCAGCACATAAGCCCCTTTCCTTTTGGAAAGTGCTAGATAAGTATTATACTTATTCTCCATGCAGGCCACACCTCAGGTTTGAAGGTATCTGGAGAACATATATAAAAGCAGAATTTTGATACTTAGAAACAGCTAAAAGTCATTTAGAGCAAATTCTGATATATAAAATCAGCAATCAACTTGAGAAATGCTAATCTGATTTTTTTTAAATTGGATTAAACTCTCTGGAGGCATTGCACAGAGGAATGTAATGATTAAAAGCATATGACCTGGAGTGTAAGTGGTGAGATTTGGATTCCAGCTCAATCATGCACAGTGTTAAACTCTCTGCACCTCAGTTTCCTCATGTGTAAAATGGGCATAAAAGTTCTAACCATATAGGGCTACAGTAAGGAATAGGTACATGTAAAGTACTTAAAGGTTTAGCATTGATTACTTAGCATGTAGTAAGTACTTAATAAATGCTAGTTACTGTTAGACACTTCAGGGAATGATGAGGATTGGAGAGAGGGTAAGAGAGCAAGGCTGTGGCTTACTCAGCATTGTCAACCAGAGAATATTCCCCTTTTCCTGTTTACTTATATTGGGCTTCCGAAGTAAGGTTCTGTAGGTTCCACAGCTAAACAAAGTTTGAAAACCAGTAATGAAGACATTTATTTATCAAAAGGAAAAGATAAGACCTAGTACTAAATGATAAAAACAGGTTGACAAAACTGTATATTACAAAGCAATCCTGTTTTTCTTTTTTTTCTTTTTTTTTGGAAATGGAGTTTCACTCGTTGCCCAGGCTGGAGTGCAATGGCATGATCTCGGCTCACTGCAACCTCCCCCTCCTGGGTTCAAGCAATTCTCCCGCTCAGCCTCCCAAGTGGCTGGGATTACAGGTGCCCGCTACCACGCCTGGCTAATTTTTCTATTTTTAGTAGAGATGAGGTTTCACCATGTTGGTCAGGCTGGTCTTGAACTGCTGACCTCAGGCGATCCACCCACCTCGGCCTCCAAAGTGTTGGGATTACAGGTGTGAGCCATCGCGCCCAGCCAGCAATCCTATTTTTCTATTTGTCTACATTGTCTCAAAGGATATTACCAAAATTAGATTATTGCTGGATGGTAAAATTAAAAAAAAAAAAATTTTATCCTTCTTTCACATGTTCATAACCTGTATTTAATATTTTATGCAATAATAATTTAAATAAATATATCTCTCTTTGGAATTTAAAGTATATTTAAAATGTTTTTTGGGCCAGGTGCAGTGGCTCATGCCTATAATCCCAGCACTTTGGGAGGCCAAGGCTGGAGTATCACTTGAAACTGGGAACCAGCCTGGGAAACATAACAAGACCCTCATCCCTACAAAAAATAAAAATAAACATTAGCTGAGCATAATGGCATGTGCTTATAGCCCCAGCTACTTGGGAAGCTGAGGTGTGAGGACTGTTTGAGACCAGGAGTTTGACGCTGCAGTGAATTATAAGCTATGATTGCACCACTGCACTCCAGCCTGGGTGACAAAGTGAGACCTTGTCTCATACACACAAAATTTTTTTTTAAGTCTTCGTTTTTAAATGGCAAAAGCCAAAACAAACCTTGCAAAGTTAATATTTAAGCTGTGACATTAAACAAAAATTTCCTTAAATAAATCGTTCTATTTTATCCTAGATTGTAGATGTAAATGGCAATGTTCTACCTCCTGGACAAGAAGGAGATATTGGCATTCAAGTTCTACCTAAGCGACCATTTGGCCTTTTTGCTCATTATGCAGTAAGTGACTTACTAAATAATCTCTTATTTTCTATTTTATTTCTCAAGTGCTTGGTAACGATCCCTGTTTGCCACAAAACATACCTAGGATAGATACTTGATCCTTTCTTGACAGATTGGTTGTCCTGAATAGTAATCCCAAAGACAAGAAATTGAAGAAATACCCAAATTCTTGCTGAAGAAAAGCATGCTGGTCTCCTGAGGCTAGATCACTGTTCCAGGTCCATGAAGGCAAGAGGAAGGGACCCTAGAAAGAAGATGGCCTCTTATCATCCCATGATACTCTCATTTATCAAACAAAACCTGCTCATTTTCCTGAAATCCAAGTAGTGCTCTTTCTTTTCAGGAAGAGTGAGAGGGACAGGGGATGCGGGGGTGGTGGGATTAAGCAAATGTCTTTCACAAGAGGCTTTCTAAGCTCCTTACTGTTTGCAAGAATATTTTCATCTCTAATCACAGTATACAAATTAGAGCAAAGTCTCTATCATATAGTAAAAGATCCAGATGCCACTTGCCCATGTATTTTATATAATTTAACAGTATCTTGTTCATTTTTCTTATGTCAGACTTGCAGAACCAGTTCTATTATTGTGTAAAACAAAACAAAACACAAAAACAAAACAAACCTGTCTGCTCTTTATTAGGTGTCAGTGCTTTCTTTTGACTCCGAGTATTTACTTCTCTCTTTTCCTGCCAGCATTATATATTAATCAGTTAGCAAAAGACTTAATTTAGTTTACTCCTCTGAGCTCCTGCAATATTTATTTTGTAATCTAAGAAAAATCTTAAGATGGAAACATGCCTAATCTTTGTAACTGTAGTTTACCTTTCTTCTGTTGGGCTAGCTCCATGCTGGAATTTCATCCTTATTTTCACACTCTATCTCTTCCTAACTCTAATGCTTCTCAAAGGAGCCAAACTTTTCTGCTTCCTTGAACATTTAAAAATCCAACTGAGGGCCGGGAGTGGTGGCTCATGCCTGTAATCTCAGCACTTTGGGAGGCTGAGGTGGGCGGATCACTTGAGGTAAGGAGTTTAACACCAGCCTGGTCAACATGGGGAAACTCCATCTCTGCGAAAATATACAAAAATTAGCCAGGCGTGGTGGTGCACGTCTATAGTCCCAGCTACTTGGGAGGCTGAGGCAGGAGAATTGCTTGAACCCGGGAGGCAGAGGTTGCAGTGAGCCAAGATCGTACTACTGCACTCCAGCCTGGGTGATAGAATGAGACTCTGTCTCAGGGAGGAAAAAAAAAAAATTCCAGTTGACCAGAGGAGTTGGATTCACAATAATAACAAAATGCTATTTGCTTTGCAGGATGATCCTTCAAAAACAGCTTCAACTCTACGAGGCAATTTCTATATCACTGGGGACAGAGGGTATATGGATGAAGATGGGTATTTTTGGTTTGTTGCAAGATCAGATGATATCATATTATCCTCTGGGTAATTTTCTTTTCCATATGTGCATATTGTCTGTGTTAACTGGTGATCAGTGTTCTAGAGTGAACCTGTCACTCACCTGTATATATTCCTGCCATGTGTGTTTCTAGTTATCGAATTGGACCATTTGAGGTAGAAAATGCCCTGAATGAACACCCTTCAGTTGCAGAGTCAGCTGTTGTCAGCAGCCCAGACCCCATCAGAGGAGAGGTAAAAGAACTGATTCATGTCAACTTTATAATTTGTTGGCAATATAACACATACTTACGAACAGTAGCTCAATGAAACAGAATTAACCAAATGATTCATTCACTAAATATGCAAGTCAGATAGAAATACGCTAGTCAGAAAGAACTGCTACAAAATAAGATTGAATTATGAGTTGTAGCTCTGATCCTAACAGACAAACAAACAAAATAAGGCTGAAAATATGTACTAGAAAGAATTTGAATTCCTTCCATGGTGGACTAGGGCAAAGATGGTGTGAATGTCAGGCTCACACCAGGATGGGGTGACCAAAGGCAGCTGGATAGGATAAAGTTGTTACCCAGAAGGTCTGGAAACCAACAAGATCCCTGGTGTAGTGAGGGAGAATGGGCTGGCATCAGATGTCAGAAGTGGGAACCAGAGGTCAGAACTGAGGTAACCATAAGCAGTCTGGGTAGGTAAATAAGTAGAGGTTTCAGGAAGTAAACTCTGAATAACACCGGAGTCCTGAAAACCCATTCCTATTGGGGCTGACCACACAGTATTTTGGCTTGAAAGTACCATGCCAGGCAGCCTCCTGTGTTTTGCCTGTATGTCTACAACATGCCCCTAGGGTTTCTCTAGGCGAGTTACGAGTTCCCACAAGTATTTCTTCAATCCATGTCACTTCTAACACTGAACCCAAGTTTTGAAGATGATATTCATGTCACTACAAATCCAGAACTTTCTGTACCATGTATTCAAGCTCCTTATCTCAAATCCTAGGTATAGGGCTTCAAGCACAGGGCACAGGGCAGAGTTAGAAGGTATCCAATCTCGGGGATGAAATAGGTCCTCAAGTTTAAGGCAGGCTGGGCATGGTGGCTCACACCTGTAATCCTAGCACTTTGGGAGGCCGAGGTGGGGGGATCACCTGAGGTCAGGAGTTTGAGACTAGCCTGGTCAACATGGTGAAACCCTGTCTCCACTAAAAATACAAAAATTACCCAGGCATGGTGGCGCATGCCTGTAATCCCTGCTACTTGGGAGGCTGAGGCAGGAGAATCACTTGGACCCAGGACGGGGAGGTTGCAGTGAGCCAAGATTGTGCCACTGCGCTCCAGCCTGGGTAACAGAACGAGACTCCGTCTCAAAAAAATAAAAATAAAAAATAAAAAAGTTTAAGGTAAAAATGGGAGATGTGCATGTTACAGTGGAGGGTGGATCTCCCCCAGGAATGATTCCCCTAACTGATCTTTGATGCCAAAAGATACCCTGTAAGTCCTCCTGGATGGCCCAAAGTTGTTCCAGATATAGCCCAGTGGCTGGGAATTGGTAGTTTGTCAAGTTGCTAGGATAACAATCGCTATTTACTGTGAAAGGATATATTCCAGGCAGCTAAGGGCAGGGGAAACAGTCAGTGATTACTGGCTTGTCTCTTTGCCCTGAACACCACCGGCAAGGTTTCACGAGTCTTAGCTCTTCCTGTACCTCTCCCCTACCATCAGTCATCATCAGCTTTACCCACCTCAACAGGTGCTTACTTGGGACAGGATGGTAGCTGAGCCTTTTGGAACAGGGTTGGCTTGGCAGCCACTTGATGTCCTAGAGTACAGTATAGAAAAGATCTATAAGTGGGTTGTGGGCCCCTCACAGCTCTGGGGTCTTGGCATAGGGCTTGGATTAGTCAGAGTGAGGGGGAAAGTGTGGCCAGTTTCCCAACAGTGGTGGGCTGCAGCATTTCCTGGTAGAAGATGTGAGTGGGTGTCTCAAATGAGGTGTGCATGAACAAAACGGCCATGTGCTCCGTGCCTCCCTTTCTGCTGCCAGGCCTATTCTAGCTGGGTTAGGTCCTTCTCCAGGCTGGGTCTCGCCAGGCAGGGTAATTGGGTAGCAAGTTCCAGAATTGATTAAAAAGAATATTTGGATCTGAAATACCATTTTAACATTGGAACGTGAAATAAAGACTTGAGGAATATTTGTGTAGATCACTAGGTTCTTAAATTTTTGGGATCACATACCTCTTTGAGAATTTGAAGAAAACCATAGGCCACTGTTAAGACTTATGCAATGATGGAAATGTTCTATATTTGCACCATCCAATGTGATAGCCATGCATGGCTATCAATCACTTGAAATGTGGCTAGTGTGACTGAGAGTATTTAATCTTATTTAATTTTAATTGATTAAATTGAAATAGCCACACGTGGCTAGTGGCTATCATATTGAATGGCACAGCCATAGACTTTTCTCAGAAAACTACAAGATTTTGCAGAATTTCAGAGAGATTTGAAGCCCACTTACGCA